ATCCATCAAATTCCCCAAAAGCTATGAACTCAGTAGTTTACATTATAAAATATAAAACAATACAAAATACAATGACATAAAGCACGACATTCAATTTCTTCTCCATCTTTCGAAGCCTTCTACCATGCTCCTGAAATTCATTATCCATCTCATAAACCCTTGTGCTTGGATCGTTAAATTCTTCGCTTCTTATAGATGTACGAGGTGCAACATTGGAGATCACGTCGTAGTCATCATCATCTACGAACTTGAAGTAATTGCAGTGTTCCTCACTAATCTACAATGCATGACAATCAGTTAATCAAATCAGGCTAATAAATTTGCAAACAAATTTCCAAACAAATTTCCATAGTACTTACATATTTTGATGGACACACAAAGTACACACGCCCTTTATTTCCATTCTGATTGGAAAGCACAATGTGTATGGCAGCTGTTCTCCCACAATCACAAAATCTTGGTATCAATCTTAAGTAGCTATTGTTACTAGAGGAAGAAGCCATTTTGTAATCTGCATACAAAATAGAAGATAAATATATATATATATATATATACATACATTAGTAAACATAGCTACTATGAATTAATAACTTAGAGATGAGCTTTTAGATGAATATCTGGGCTGAGAATGAGATTAGGGTTCAAGGGCCAAAACATTTGCTACAATACAAGATAAATATATATATATATACATACATTAGTAAACATATTAGATTAAGCCATAGATTTTAACTCAAGACAACATTGAACTTGTGCTTAGCTAAACTTGTTATTTTGACAAGAACAGTAAATAAAAAACAAAAATCAGCATAATCAAGACCTTAACTGCTATCCCATAATGCCCAAATTCAACAAGAAATTCAAAATCAAATTCTAAATCAAGTATAATCAAGTCCAGAATCAAGACCATTATAGAAATTCAAGAAATTCAACATTTCTGGTATTAAACTATGAACAAGTCCAGAACCCATAGAAGTCCATAACCTGTTCCGAATCTGTTCAAAACCTGTTCCATTATAGAAACCTGTTCCGAATGAACAAAAATCTGTTCTGATAAATGGATAGATTCAGAATCTGATTTAGAACAGCTTTTGAACAGATTCAGAATCTGTATAGTGGAACCAATGAACAAAAATCATTATAGAAACATGTTCTGAATCAAATTCCATTCAACCTGTAGAAGTCCATTCAAGAAATTCAAAATCAAATCAAATTCCATTCAACCTGTAGAAGTCCATTCAAGAAATTCAACCAGAGGCCCTGCTTTGCTTACTTCTACAATCAAATCAAATTAAACCCAAATCAAAATGTGAACATCATGCTAAGATTATTTAAAAAAAAAATAAAAGGACAAAAAAACAACCTCCTCGTCACGAAGCCAAACCCTTGACTTCTTCCACTTATCTTGTCATAGTGCTTCACTTTATTAGCCACCTCTGATGGAGTCAGTTTTGCACCCCATTTATAGCAGAGATTCTAAAAGAAGAATGAAATCGTAACAAATAAAAAAATATGAATAAATATATGGAGACTCATTAAGGCAATTCATTTGGGTTCTTTGGTATTTTTCTTAATTGACTTGGGTTATTTTTAGGTATTTGGATTGCTCTAAAACACACCCGCAAGTATAACTGTATACACTGTCCAACTTATAGCAAATAAAATCAAACTTATAACTTTATAACTTTTTAATTAATCAAACTTCACAGAATTTTTTTGACTTATCCTCCTTGTATAAGTTAAGATCTATTCTTATAAATAAGTGATTTATACCCATCGAATTCTGACTCACACAACTCTAAACCTGGTGTTCATGTGCTTCAAATATATTCAAACTTGGCCACTGTTGGCAAGTGGGAGGAAGTGGTACCCATGTCAATTTAAATCAATCCACAAGACAAATTGATCCTGGCTGTTCTCTGATGAGTGAGAAGGCAGATAGCTTTAAATTTCCACTAGCCACAGTGCCTCATTCAGGTGGAATTTCTGGTAAGGTTTTTGAGGATTATTTGGGCTTTTAGAACATGATGAACATTCTTTGTGCATGATTCATATTGGATAAAATGTTTCTTTGACACTGTTTTGTTTTGCAGGAACATTGTTTGTTGGAATGTCAAGCCTAAGAATGTGGGTTCAAGTCTAAGGACCCCCACTTTGTACAAGTAATGCCAAAAGTTAAAAGTCTGTACCCTATACCCAATTCATCCTTCCTAGCCACCAACACTGACTAATGGATTTTTAATGTCTTTTGATTTTCTTGTGCAGAATTTAGTTAAGGTTGACATGTTAATCTGAAAGCAAAAATCTGAATCATACATGGACGGAAAATTATGTTTGTCGATTCAAATCTTTAATACTGCGTTATGGGTAGAAATCTTTATGTCTCTTTGGTATGTATTGATTGCTCTCCTCTGAAAACTTGACCCTCGGCAATGTATGGACAACCTCAATGGGAAAGTTAACTGGAGTGATGAAATTTGTTTTCATGGAGAATGTAAGTAGAAGATAATTCATATATCATATAAGACTTTCCTCACCACCAGTACAAGTGAAGGAAAAAAGATGTGATGCTTTATTACCACAGCTTCTTTGGTTGCTTTCTCAAATGAGAAAATTGTCCCTTCTTTATTAGAAGGCTGTATATGCTACCAAGAAGGCTGTGAGAATAGTATTTTCCAGAAATAATTGTTTACTATCAGCAAAATCTATGTTGAATACCAATAAGATTGAGCCACAAATGCAAAACAGCATTGACTTTTTCTTTATCTTTGGTAATAAACAATTATTACAAGGTCTCCTAATATTCATGTGACTTAATCAAGGGGTAACATGTCAGCCACCAACTTTGGGAATCTAGGACTGACATGCTGCATGTCACAGAAAGTTTAGGTTATCACATATTATTCTAGGATATCTGTGCTTGTCAGAAGAACATCAATTAATGGATTTTTTTGAAAAATTACTAGGCACTTGATTTTTGATTACACTCAAATGGACTTGTAATAAAGCTGAAAAATAGCAATAATATGGATAAAACTTTATTGCTATTTCAAAAATAGGCAAACATTGCATGATTATTTCTAAACCAAAATCAAACAACAAACACAACCAAAAAATAAAAGGAAAAAATACATCGAACTCCAGATGTATGCAAGAACGATCAGACTCGGATTTGTGAAGTTCTCTCTGAACAACAGCATTAACTCTTTAAACAATTCAAAACACTTAAAGGCTAGTAAAAATATAAACAGTAATAACAATGACATAAAAAATAAAATAAAAAAACACTATACCCTTAGTATCTATGTACATCCACTCAAGCTATAGAAATCAGAATTTAATACATGAACCTTTCTATTCTCCAAAACAATTTTGCATTTTGTTTGTGTCACCAAATGAAGCTTAGCTTTAGCAGAGTGTAACTTAGTCACTAGGTTCTTCACTACATCATTCTGAAATTCCAAAGACAAATGAAACACTGAAACTCCATAATAGCCAAAAGGATCATGAAATGATGTCCATACCACATTTTTTGAAATGATATAGCTCTTAACACTACACTTTCCTGTAAGTTAAGTTCAATAAGTTAGAACAACTTACCTTGTTCATAAGATTTTTATTTATATTTGTGAATGGGGGGACTACTACTCAAAATCGGGCAATTGTTTGGGATTAAATGTAGTTATGGTAGTTTATTAGCTTGAAACAGGAAAACACTATCAATTCAAAAAAAAATTTCTTCATGATAATTCCAGGTCAGCTATCATACTGTTCAGATGGTTGTCATGTTTTCCCATCAAAATAAAATCACCATTGAAACAGCATGCAACAGTAACAGATCAGAAGCAAATTTTCATAAATGTCATCTAACATTAAGAAAAACTTCTTTTTAATCACACATCATAGTTCAGTTTCACCTATTTGCTCACCAGTTTTATCCTTGATCTGCACGGATTAAAATCAGTATCATTAGAAGAATTTTTGTTTGGAAGTAAAGAGTTAAATATAATGTTTTTTTTTTTGGATAAATAATCAAACTTTATTAAAAAAGCATCAAGGCGATACAAAGAGTTAAATAGACCAACCAACAACCAGACACAACACCCAGAGCAGGAATACTTATGAAGAAGTTCCTTGAACATATGTAATTGTCAGAGGACATATAGGGTTAGGTTTTGGAATGAACGTAGGCTGCCAGAAGAGAGGGGGCAGGGGTTGCTCTTGAGAGAGAACTTGTTCAAACTCAGAATTCTGCAAGGGGTAACCTCCAAGTTTGGAGGTTTTGAGGTCAAGTACTAGTACACACAATTGATTGGAGATTGTAAGTATTTTTTCCTTGTAAAGGGATATCAAATCCAAACTAACAATGTGTTTATGTGTGTCTACGAGATAGACATGTATTCTAAATGTCCAAAGTCCACCTAAAAACGTCTAAAAATATAATAGGGCATGTCTGAATGGGTGCCCAACACATGTCCAACATGGACATGGAACCTTTTTAGAAGAATCCATGCTTCTTAGATTTAGCTAGATTCTTGTACTTGTATGGGATGATAGCATGTGCTTCCCTTGGACTTTCTACATGAGTTGTATCCACTTTTAGCACCTTTTGTAAATCTATCTCTTATTAATAAAAACACATAACCAGATCCTCTAGAAATCCTTGATCATGTGAAGATTAACAATACACTTGAAAGTCCAATATCAACTATAAAAGGTGTTCTGAAGGATTCCAAGGAAAAGGACTTGAGTTTTAATAAAGAGGAGCTAAGAAAAGTTGAAGAAAGGTTGAAACTTGAATTTATCGAATTCTATCAGAAGCTTCGTCTCCTAAAGAATTACAGGTAATAAACCGAACATGGTCAATGTGAATTCGGTTGTGGAAAGATGTTCATGGTTTTTTATTTTATTATTTTTTGTTTTCTCATTTTCACATTTTTCCCTTCTGACTTGTCAATTATTATATACTTCTTGTTTTGCAAATGAATGAACCAGCTTTATGAACCTCTCATCATTTTCCAAGATCATGAAAAAAATTCGAGAAGGTCAGAATTTGAATTAATGAATAGTACATATAAAGAGAAACATTATTGTGGATTACTAAAATAGTTATGTGAATTGTTGTCAATTGAAAAAAGAAGGGCGTCAATAATTTCAAATAATTCAAAACCTACAAATTAACAAAACTCATCACAGAATTACCTACAATGTTGCTTAAATTTTCTTACATGTGGGAGATGCAAGATAATGCATTAAAATACAGGACATCTAACAAAAGAAAGGGAATTTCTATTACTTAGCAAATGAGCAATTCTGGCATGAATTTAGACCATGTCTAGCAGGGACATCATTATCATTTATCATTCATTACAAGAACCAAGGATGTGAAATGCAAAACAAGGGCATCATTGTCATTTATCAGTCATTATCCTTGCAATAACTTTGTGATTGGAGAAAGGGGGGGAAGATTAATCTGATTTTATAATTATCCAATCCTGCTGTTCCTTAAAAAAAAAAAAAAAACGCAAACAAAACAATAAAGAAAAAACTAGCCATTGTGGCATTTTATCAAACACCTAGCAGACCCATAATCAGAAGCATGAGACTTTACTCTCTGTGTGTGTAGAATCACCAACAATTTATTCACTTCAATGATTATATTGGGTAGAATATGAATATCATAATCAAAATACATAACATGTTAATCATTCTGTTTTCTATATTTTTTTTCCCAAATTAAAATCATTCAAGTTATTCATGGAACCCTTTAAAGTAGAGAAGGTTTGGAGATGTTAGAACTAATGAATGGAATGACTTTAATCTCATCTTAACAATGAATTCCATTTACAGAAACACGTCCGAAAACAGAGTGAGGGTAGAGAATGAGAAACCCAGAGACCAGAAGAGAGAGAGAGAGGGGTAGAGAAAGAGAAACAGAGACAACAAACTGACCTAGAACTCACGGTGGTGTTGTAGCTTGATGTCGGTACAGGATGAACTCACGGATGAATCGTCCTCACGGTGGAGGATGAGCTCACGTTGTTCTCTGCTACTGCTTTGTGAAAGAACTATGGATAGATTATTAGGGCACAAAGTTCTAACCAAGGAGTTGAAAACAATTTTGGCGCTAAATCAGAATTTTTTTAGTGCTTTAATTTTGGGTTTATGTAAGACATTGGAAAAATCATGAAAACAAAATAAAAAAAATCACTAAATTCATAAATTGACGGGTAATGTTGAAATATTCCTGCTAAAAAAATAAATTTGTGTGTTTTATGAAATTTTTTAATTGTTAAAATATAATTTGTTTGTAGTGAGAGAGAGATATGAAGAGGAAAACTGATAAACAAAAAAAAAAAAAAAGAAAAAATAGTAGAGTAATTTTTTCATTACTGCCCAATTATGTCAAAATTTTCCATCCAAATTAGTGACAAAATAATTTCTCAAGTAAAAGGCTCAAAATATTAAAATCTATTAGTAAACAAAAATATATTTCTCACAAATATAATCTTAAAATATTTAAAATCAAGTTTTTTTTAAAAAACAAAATGTAAAATTATTGTGACGAAAAATATTTCCTCACTAATAATTTTATAAATTAGTGACATAATTTTTTCTCACCAAAAGTCCGCAGAATTTTTTGGCGCCACCAAACAAAAATTTGGCGGAAAAGGCTTCAATGACGAAACTTAATTTTTTCTCACCTAAAAGAAGTATTATTGACGCAAATAAATTTCGTCACCTATTATTTTTATTTGTTTATTATATGTGACAAAAAATTTTTTATAATTTCGTCACAAATTGTTCTTATTTAGTGACTAAGAGATTTATTTCTTTCACTACTTTTTGTCGCACATAGGTTTACTTTTTGTTATAGTGAAAATAGCTGTACAAAGCATATGATAATGAATTTTTGAATACTACAACTGTCTAGACAGAATACTCACTGGATATCAAGAATCCCCTCACAATGTTGCTAATTGGGTAGATGTTGTAACTGCACATTAGGAATTAAAATTATGAGGCGTTAAAGTTTGAGGAGGCCGCGCTCTGCTGCTCCGACGCGCCCCGTCGCTCGATTCGTGATCGACGAGAGTTCGATGAGAGAGAGAGAGAGAGGATTGATTGTAGGTAAGAAAGATTAGGAGTTTTTGGTTTGAGAATGGGGATTTTTTTTTTTTTTTTTTTTGGGCGGTGGGTGGGATGAAAAATAAAAGGACACTGGAGTAGCAGGACCCTGGAAAAAAATAAAAGGGACGGGAAATAAAAATAAATCCATG